TGGAAGCTGGGGGTGGGCGGCAATTAGGCTGATTCAGGTGAGAGACATGTGGGCTGCACTTGGTGGGAGTGATGAGGAGTGGTCTGAGTCTGGATACGGTGGTAGGGAGGGCCAACAGGATCCCCAGGTCGATGGGCATGAGTGGTGACAGGTCAAGATGATTTTCATTCTGGAAGAATGGAGAAGGCACAGCAGAGACGGCTTAGGAGGAGACAAAGAGTTGGGTTTGATATGTCTGTTGGACATGGAAGTGGTAATACTGAGCTGACAGCTGGACGCAGAAGCCAGTGTTGAGGGGAAAGGTGGGCCTGAGGTACAAGTTTGCTACTCCTCCATATGAAGGTGGTATTTAAAACATAAATGGATGAGTTCTCCAAGGAAGTAAGTAAACAAAGGGAAGAGAAGAGGCCTGGGGCACTCCCTCGTGAAGAGGTCAAGGAAATAAGGAGTCGAGCACATGAAGGAAACAAAAGGAACAGTCAGTGAATCCAATTAAGAGGAAACCAAGAGAATATGCTGCCCTTAAAGCCAATCAAAAACTGTATTTCAGGGAGGAGACTGTGAGGAAGTGCCAAACGTTTCTGAGAGTCCAAATAACAAGGACTGGGAGATAACAGAGCACTGAACCCAGCAACAGGGAGGTTTATCCATGAACCTGACCAGTGGAGTAGGGGTGGAGAACGCTGGGTTGGCGTCAGTGTGAGGACGAGGTCAATGAAAGGAAAGATGGTGAACGGCAAGAACTTGCTCCGGCTTTACTGTGATGAGGAACAGAGCAACCAACTGGCAGCTATAAGGACAGAGGAATCCAAAAAGGGCGGTGGTCACTGGTGTGTGGGTCTCTGCCTGTCTGCCTGTCTGTCTGTCTGCCTGTCTGTCTTCCGGAGAAATCGCAGCATGTGAATGGAAATAACTGGAGAGAAAATGTGCTGTGTGATAGGGAGAGGACTTACTGCTGAAATCTGTCCTCAAGTAGCCAAAGCAGAAGGACTCTCACGCACACGAGGAGGACCCGGCCCAAAAGCAACCACCCGGTACTCGGAGAGAAACTTTAGAAAGAACATTTAAGAACAACAATACATAAGATGTAGTAGGGCGCCAGGATGAAAGGGCATTAACTCCAGCGCACAACTCTTGGGGAAGCTGCTTATTGCTTTGTCTTCTTATAATTTCCATTTTTCCCCTAGAAGTCACACGTGGGGGGGGGGGGGGTAAAGGGCAAGTGAAGGTCTTTGCTAGGTGCCAGTTATTTCCAGGGTATTTTACTGGTGTTTTGTGTTTCACTTGTCTGGCTGTTTTTGATGCATTTGTGACCATCCTATCAATGTTGAACAAAATACATCTGCACATACACACACCTATACGCCTGTGTATTCCTTGAGTTTATGTACACTTTTCATTAAGCTCTTTACTCTCTGTTAACTTTTACTATCGTGAGTTTTCCTGGTTTATGACTGTGTATAATGAGTCCTTTCACTTGTCACTCTACCTTCCAGGAGTGGCTGCAGAGGACTTGAAAATATTTTCATCCGCTCTGCCCTCTAGAGCTCCTTTTCACCACCTTCAATCATACGCATCCTCAGCTTCTGTCTTTCCCAGTTCACAGACTCTACTCTGCATCCCTTAAGCCCTTCCTTTCCACACATCTCCATTTTAGAAGCCCTGCTCTAACAATTCTGCCACTACAGAGATGTGTCACGGTCAAGTACAAAAACAGGATAAGAAGTATTTTCACTTTCCAATGTTGTCCTAAAGATAGCCAGGATTTTTAAACCTTTATTTAAGTCTTAGGAACGCCCTGGACCAACTCCTTCCTGACATTATCTGTAGCACCTACTACATCCCTTTCCTACAGTGAAATGGTAACTCGGTCTATCACTTTATATGTGAAGTTTATTTTTCCAAAAGCGTCTTGCATTACCTTGGCACAAAAGAATTCGGGGGGGAGGGGGGGACTCTTCATCTCGTCATCTAAGGCTGAACCAGGAAGATTGGCAGATGAAGTCTAACCAAAGCTGTCCCGTCATCAGAGGCTAGTGCAGTACATGTACACCTAAAATTCTCTCCGGTGATAAATCAGTGGGAATAATAACCCCCAACTGAGTGTACGGCTTTGAATTTCATTGGGATACAAGAGAGACAAGTCTTGTCTCTCACCAGAGCTTTAAGTCTGGTCCGATAAGTAGATAGGTAAGTAAATGAAAGAAAGAATGGAGAGAGGGAGGGAAATGGACAGGGGTACATGTGTAAACATACACATACACACATATGTACATATGTACACACAGACATGCCTCTACCATTTACAAAAAAAGAGCAGTACCTACCAAAGTATTTTTGATTCAACAAATAGCTAGTCTCAGGAAGTGGCTAACAAGATACCTGGTATCCCGTCCCAGCTCAGCGACTAACCATCACAGTGACTCTGGACAAGCCACGTCAGTGCTGTGGTTTTCCAGTTTTTCCATTTGAAAATTGTCTAAGGTCCCTTTGCAGCCTGACAATACTATGGGCTATAAATAGCTGACAATAGTGTATAATATATTCCTGGGATACTGATGTTACAGCCTCCTGCCATTTATAAGCCTACTTTAGATAGGACTGAGTCAGAAAGACACTCGCCCTGCCATTAGCAGAATTCAAACTATTACAAACACAATGCTGCATACTCGTGTGTGTCAACAGTCAGAAAATCAGGATTATCTCCTACATTATTACTGCCTTTCCCTGTCTTTAATATTGTTGCTATTATTTTCGATTCCAGGCCTTTTTTTTTTTTTTTTTTTGAGTCCTAATAAAGCCATTTTTATCTTGGCCTTTACCTAAGGTACACTTAATGTTAAATAAAAATTGCAGAGTATTACTTAAAAAAATTTTTTTAATGTCCAAAAAGATCTTGTTCTGAATGTTCCATTAAAAATGATTTCTTTTTAATCTCACAGTAGAGTTAAGGGGTCTCACTAACCCAGTTTATCATCTCCATGTAAATGAACCTTACAAAGTGGGCCAAACCTAGAGGTATGTAGAGGCACAGAAAAGTGTCCCATTAGGGGCGCCTGGGTGGCTCAGTTGGTTAAGTGTCTGCCTTTGGCTCAGGTCATAATCCCAGGGTCCTAGGACTGAGTCCCGCATCGGGCTCCCTGCTCAGTGGGGAGCTTGGCCCTCTCCCTCTGCCTGCCTCTCCCCCTGCTTATGTTCTCTCTTTTTCTGTCAAATAAATAAATAAAATGAAAGAAGGCAGGAAGGGGTGGGAAGAGAGAAAGAGAGAGAGAGAGGAAGAAAGAAAAAGAGAGAGAGAGGGAGGGAGGGAGGGAGGGACGGAGGGAGGGAGGGAGAGAGGGAAAGAAAGAGAGAGACCCATCCGACATTTAAGGAGCCCATGCTTTCCTTTTCAGACTTCCCCGTGTTCTTCCCACATCCTCCCGATATCTATGGTAAAAAGAGGTTCTAGCGACCTTGCACAAACTTTAAATCTCTGAAAAAGGGAAGTGAATATGTCTCCCCTCAAACACAACTGTAGACCACCGAGACAGAAATATCTACTTTACTTAGTGGTTAAGTGAGGGACCACTTAGGAAGGATAATCTCTTGGCAAGGGGCCCAACCCTTATCTTGCACTTCCAGGCATCCCTGAACGGGCCCGGTCTAAGGAGAGGCCTGTGCAAGTGACTCCCTCTGCACTAAAATATTGAAAGAAAGGTATTTCTAGTTGCATTCAAAACACTAAATTTACAGTCGGGTTGGTTTGGACTGGAGTCATAAGGTTCTTCAACAGCCTTCAGTTTCTGACTACAAGCTCTGATAAAAATCAAAGTAGGTTGACAAGTGTTAGAGGAGAAGACAGTGCTCTGTCAGAGCAGCCCCTTCCGGGTCCAAAGGAGAAGTAATAAATAAAATGTTCCCGATGTTTCTGTTAATTCTAACCTACCTGAACAGTCCTCACCACCGCCTCATCCCAAAAAGATATTTCAGCAACAGACCTGACAGAGGAGACACAGTGAAAAACACGCATTGCCTATCCTAAAATAACTCATAACCCCATTACACTGAAAGTAAGGGAAAACTATAGGATCCCTAAGTGTGACAGAGGGCCACAGTGAAATACTTAAATGTTAGGAAAAAATCCTCATGGCTCTTCAGCAGTACCCCTACTTTCCAGAAATTCTATAAATAATCTTCCAAGTTACAATGACTTCAAAAAAGCTTCCTATTTCTGTCTCTCCACCTACCAATTTTGTGAGAATTACATGCTTGGCCAAATTAACTTGAAGCTGAGGAAGTACTATGCCAAGCCAGGGTTTCTCAATCCCTGCTGATAAGCTCAGGGTCCAGATAAATGCCTGATGAATGAGCAGCTTCTGAGGGGGTTATGACATAAATCAGCCATTCTACTTGAACTAGGTACCCCCACACACATACATACACACAGATTACAAGGGATTTCATTTCTTTTTCAGAAAGTTTGAGACAAAACTTAAGGACAAACATTAATAAGCAGTGAACATCAAATTACAAGCTTGAATAAGAAACTCTTAAACCAAACAGCTCACTCAGCTCAAAAACTAAGGACTGATGAAGTTGTATAATAACCAGGAAACTAAAAAATACAATCTCTGCCACATTTTAATTTCCCTCTGTGCCCTAAAAGAAGTAACTGGTAAAGTTATAGTCAATAAGGCTTTAACATGATCAGACTGAGAAATGGTACTTCCTTGAGCTATCGGGGAAAAATAAATCCAACCACACAGGTCATTAGCTTTTGGAGAAAATGGGGTGGGCAACTGTATGAAATCACCAGTAGGGGTTAGAAAGCATATACACACTCACATCTGAGGGTAATAGAGCCTTATGCAGCCTAAGTACAAAATAACGTAAGACAAAGAAAAGGTCAGCACACAATGAAATATTCCCAAAAGGAGTATTTCAAGAAACATTTAAATCTCACATATAAAATTAAGTCTCAACTCCAGAAGGGGGAAAATAAACATTTATAACCTTACCTTCGCCAAAACTTTGGACGTAGCCACTGTTTCTCAGGCTCTTTTAATTAGCAGAAAAAGTTTCACCAAGTCAGGTCTATAAACAAATCCACAAACTCTTCTTGCTGCCCATGGTAAGGCAGGAAACAGCGTTGAACACTTCAAATGCTCAGCCGTTAAGAGCTAAAAACAGACCCTGTGCAATGCTGGATATATTTTTGTCTGCTAGCTACACACCCTCATCATGTTCAATTTTTTCCATTGGTGGAAGAGTATGATGCACACTTAACCAGAAAGTGGTTTTCCATGGGCTGCCTCAGCGATTAGCCAGGACAGCCTGCTATCACGCCTCGGAGCCGCCAGGCTCAGCCAGCACCGAGCTGCTGTTGGACCCACATTCCAGAGTTTACCACCAGAGTTCCATAGGAACTCGGCCCCAAAGTTTGCTGAATAAAGGTTTACTCACTTGAAGGGAGTCTCAGCTGCTTTTTTAAGCCTTTCGGCAGTAAGAACACACACACACCTACCGTCCTTGTGTTTAGAGCAGTAGTAAACGTTCTGTCTCCAAAACCACAGCTGGAATGTTACGGTCATAAAAACCCTGCCTCAAGAGCGGCCCTTAAATAATTTCGAGATTTGCAAAATATCGGGTGTACACTTACTCCATGTTCCTTGCCGGAGTCATTTCATTTTTAAGTCAGCTGAGCTGCGGTGCCCTACATTCAAAGTGCTTGTTATTCCAACAGGTTGCTCTTTTATGAAAAATAAGCACGAGACTGCCTTTTAAAGAAAAGTGTTTTGAAGTGTTTTGAAGTCTTGCTGTATGTTTTGATGAAAGACCTTCAATTTAAAGTATACCCAACAGGTAAAGCGAAAGTTTAAAATCATTTTCTATTAAGTCTTGGGAAAGGTGTGCTGAAAGGGAGAACAGGATTACATGTGTGTAGTTTTAAAATTTTTGAAATTAGGGTGCCTGGGTGGCTCAGTTGGTTGGGCGACTGCCTTCGGCTCAGGTCATGATCCTGGAGTCCTTGGATCGAGTCCCGCATCGGGCTCCCTGCTCGGCAGGGAGTCTGCTTCTCCCTCTGACCCTCCCCTCTCTCATGTGCTCTCTCTCTCTCATTCTCTCTGTCTCAAATAAACAAATAAAAAATCTTTAAAAAAAATAAAATAAAATAAAATTTTTGAAATTATATTCTACAGAAGAAAACAGCTTAAGCATAAGTGTTCAAGTTATCCTGGACAAACATAATGACAGCAGCTTTTTAAGGCAGTATTTTCGTTATTTTTAAAATGTGGATGGATCTAGGGGTGCCTGGGTGGCTCAGTTGGTTAAGCGACTGCCTTCAGCTCAGGTCATGATCCTGGAGTCCCGGGGATTGAGTCCCACATCGGGCTCCCTGCTCAGCAGGGATTCTGCTTCTCCCTCTGACCTTCCCCCCTCTCATGCTCTCTATCTCATTCCCTCTCTCAAATAAATAAATAAAATCTTTAAAAAAAAAAAAAATGTGGATGGATCTATGTATGCAACTGACAAGATTCTTAATATTCAAGACCGGATTGTACTACAGACAGAGAAGCTTTCAGCTCCCTCTCTTGCACGAAAAATGAATTGCTACATATACATACACACATCTACACATGGGAGAACATGCATGAACACGTAACTTTTTTCCCCCACATAGGTTCCATGTAGTTAATACCCGCCTGAACATACACTTTCTAATCTTAATTAGCAAATAGTAAGAGCCATTACATCCAGTCATCTGTCCAATAGTTACTAAAAGTAGTCTAAACTCTACAAAACTTTATTCATGAACACAGAACCAAACAGCCTTTACTACTGGTGAAGCGCACCTGAAAAACTGCCTTTTCCAATCCCCTCATTTCACAGATGAAAAACGGAGGGCTTAAGTGACTTTTCTAGGTCACAGAGCTGGTCAGCAACAGGCAGGAGAGCAAGAACGTGCCACTCAAGTAACCACAACCCCCAGGGCCGAAGGCAGAAGGTTGCCACGGAAGCCAAGTCACATAACAGAAAACACGGGGATTCCCAAAATGTTAATTTGATGTGTGTGTATGTGCGTGCGTGTGTATTAACAAATACCCTGGGCTGGGCGCCTGGCTGGCTTAGTGGGTACAGCATGCAACTCTGAATCCCAGGGTCGTGAGTTCAAGCCCCACTCTGAGTCTACTCAGGGGAAAAAAAAGAAAAAAATACCCTGGGTAAATACAGAAGAAGACAGAATGCTAAGTCATCAAGCAGCATCATTTCTGTTATTAAAATAAAAGCAAAATGAAGTATCAGCCAGCATAAAAGAAGTACTTTCTTGAAACAGAAGAACTACTCCTGAATATAAAGGGAGAGAGAGGAGAATTAGGGAAGAAGGAAGTTTAAGAAGATGTGCTTCTCAATGTGAAAAATGTATCAGAAAACAATGAACTGTGTGGAAATATTTGCATGCCCCTGTTCTAGTCCTGCCTCTAGATTTAAAAAAAAAAAAAAAAAGGGATCTTATTTATTTATTTAAGAGAGAGAGAAAGAGTGAGCACGAGCAAGGGGGTTGGGACAGAGGGAAAGGAAGAAGCAGGCTCCCCGCTAAGCAAGAGGCCCCACATAGGCACCCTTTGCCTCTAGATTTTAAGATAATTCTGACCCTCTGATGTGTGTTACATGTAGATCTGCTGATGCCAGAGATGCCAGTAAGACTGAATTATCTCCAATATTCCTCAGACATTTCCAGTGGCTTTGTACTGTCTCGTTCCATTTTTTAATCACTGAGGTCATCCAAATAACCTTAGTTCTATGGGTGTATAAAGGCCCTTAGAGTTTCAAACTAAGATTTTTAAAATTCTTTAAACTCTGCCTAACTACAATAAAACACTCTCAATTTAGTACTCCATCCTAAAATTACAAAAGCCAGCATATCTCCAAATCATAAAACCAGACATTATCTTTCTAATGCTTCATTCTGAGATAATAACATAACAGGACATAAGTGTTAACAGGCATCTAAAGTTAAGTTCCTTGGCAAAGATCTCCAAGAATTACATAAATTACTACTTAAGAATTATTCTATCCTCAAACATACAATGCAGAAGGACACATATAAAAACAAATACAGCAACATGCTAACAATTATAGAATTCTAGTGGTGGTGGTGTTCACTGTACAATTCTTTCAACTTTTTGTATTTTTGCAAATTCTCTTAATAAAAAGTTGGGGGAAATGACATATGTACATGCATGCATATGCACGCACACAGTCAAATTCCTATAAACAGAAAATAGAAAAGTAGTTGCCAAGGGCTAGGGGAAAGAAGGAGAGGTTGGTAAAAACTTTTGTTACAGAGGCTCCTGGGTGGCTCAGTCGGTTGGGCTTCTGACTTGATTTCGGCTCAGGTCACGATCTCAGGATCCTGGGATCAAGTCCTTTGCCGGGCTCCATGCTCAGCAGGGAGTCTGCTTCTCTCCCTCTCCCTCTGCCCCCCCCCGCTCTCCCTCTCTCTCTAAAATAAATCAATCTTTAAAAAAAATATTTTGTTACAGATGAGTTATGTCTGAGGATCTAATGTGAAACATGGTGACTACAGTTGTTAACACTGTATTAGATAACTGAAATTTGCTAAGAGTAGAACTTAAATGTTCTCTCTCACACAGGATAAAGTGAGGTGACAGGTGTTCTTAATTAACTGGAGAGAATCCTTTCACGCTGTATACATATATCAAATCACAATGCACACTTTTAAGTATCCTACAGTTTTATATGTCAACTACACCTCAAAAAGGTGAAAGTTTTGGGGCGCCTGGGTGGCTCAGTCGTTAAGCGTCTGCCTTCGGCTCAGGTCATGATTCCAGGTCCTGGGATCGAGCCCCGCTTCAGGCTCCCTGCTCCGCGGGAAGTCTGCTTCTCCCTCTCCCACTCCCCCTGCTTGTGTTCCCTCTCTCGCTGTGTCTCTCTCTCTGTCAAATAAATAAATAAAAATCTAAAAAAAAAAAAAAGGTGAAAGTTTTAAAAACTCTCATGTTTTTAGTAAAACCTAGTCTTAGTCAAGACTAAGCAAAAGTTGTTACTAACCTGATGATAACCATGGACATGAATATCTTATATTCCACTATCACATGACTAATCGTAATTCATAAAAAAAAAAAAATAGGCCACAAAGTATAGTGGAAATATCTCAGGCTTCAAAATCAGTAGATCTGGGTTAGCAATTCATCCTAGTGACTTTAGAAGCCTTCTGAATCCCAGTACCTTCATCCTAAGATGGGGTTGACAATAATAATGCTTATCTCCAATAATAGATAAGGATGTACTAATCTATAGTTACAAGAAAAACAAGACATTAAAATACATTTTAAAAAGTAACATGAGGGGCGTCTGGGTGGCTCAGTTGGTTAAGCGACTGCCTTCGGCTCAGGTCATGATCCTGGAGTCCCTGGATCGAGTCCCGCATCGGGATCCCTGCTCGGCAGGGAGTCTGCTTCTCCCTCTGACCCTCCTCCCTCTCATGCTCTCTGTCTCTCATTCTCTCTCTCTCAAATAAATAAATAAAAAATCTTTAAAAAAAAAAAAAGTAACATGAGAGAAATGACATCTCTGCTTAAAATTCAAGAAACTCAACTCCTTCCATATTCTTCACCTTTGAGGAAAAACACACAACGATATGAACAAAATATCCTACACCAAGCATTATTCTTTACTGATAACCTTCAGTCAATTCTAAGGATTTCATCTGGTAAAAAATTAATACAGTTTATTAAATAATGAATTTATTGTTAAATAACAAAGGCTAAATACGTATATTTATTGCTAAACATATTATTGTTAAAAAATAAAAGTTAAAAATATAAATTACCTCTATTCAAAAAGGATTCCAAAATATTAAATAATCTCTCACAAATATAAACAACCACCTTCAACAAAATTAACAAATGAGCAAAGACTTCGCAATACACTCATGTTCTTGAAAAGAGCTTTAGTCTGCTGTTTCTGATAGGAAAAGCAATACTTCAAATAACGTGGACTAAAAGAACACGGGATAGGAGTAACACCATTACAAAAAAGTCCTAGATGAAGGCAACACTACAAGAAAATGAAGCGTGTGAAATACCCGTGAAAAATCATAAAATCCACAGAAATATGACCTGGGGAGGTGAATTTTCTCCCCATTTCATCAAAGAGGGATCATTTTAAAAGTCTTCCAAACCAAATGCTTCCCAACAAGCCCAGAGAACACAGTGAGAGCTTGCATGGCCAGCCTTCATTTCTAAAACTGCCGCGGTTGAAGGTTTTACCTCCCATGTGCCACCCTGAAAACCCACCTGTGTGAACAACTGGCAGGTACAAGTCTTTCGCCACCTTGTTGTTCCCAGCTCAGGGCCCACGCTTCCGAGTTTGCCCGCCCTGACCTCAGCCCCTGCTGTGTGATACTGGACCCCTCACTTAGCTTCTCAGCTTCTTAATCTGTAAAATGGGGATAATATTACCTGCCCCACAGGGCTGTTGTAAGGTAAGCAAAAATAATACATGCAGATTGTTTGACACAAGGCCCGCCTGAGAACGCAAACTCCATTAAGCAGAAATTTTGTTAAAAGTGTTTACAGTTAAGGGGCGCCTGGGTGGCTCAGTCATTAAGCGGCTGCCTTCAGCTCAGGTCATGATCCCAGGGTCCTGGGATCGAGCCCCGCATCGGGCTCCCTGCTCGGCAGGAAGCCTGCTTCTCCCTCTCCCACTCCCTCTGCTTGTGTTCCCTCTCTTGCTGTCTGTCTGTCTCTCTCTCTGTCAAATAAATAAATAAATCTTAAAAAAAAAAAAAAAGTGTTTACTGTTAAGTCTACTACTCTAGGGGCACCTGGGTGGCTCAGTCGGTTCAGTGTCTGCCTTTAACTCAGGTCATGATCCCAGGGTCCTGGGATTGAGCCCCAAGTTCTCCCTCTGACCCTCCCCCTGGCTCATGCTCGCTCTAATAAATAAATAAAATCTTTTTTTTTTTTTTAAAGTCTACTACTTTAAAAAGTGCCTGGCACCTGCTGAATACCCAAAAAACAATCCAGTGCGTGAGGGCAGGGAGGGAAGGGAAAGGGCGGTGATGGTGAATATAAAAGGAGAGAAGTGTGCACTTTTTTGTCAGAGCCTCTAAAATCCCTTTATTTAAAATAAGCCAAACCGCGTGTCATCAATACCCATCAAGCAAAACTTTCACCAAGTTTCTGCTTGAAATTCCCCAGCTGTTCTCTTGTAGCATTTCACCTTCCAGGCTGCTCTGGCCTCAAGAGTATGTCTGAACAGCATGAACCATGCATCCTTAAAATCCATAGTCCAATTTTAAAGTAATTCAAAATGCTTTCCTAGCATGGTGGGTACTGCTTTAAGGCCACAGCTTCACAAGTGTTGATGAACAAGAAAATAGAGGGGCGCCTCTGGTGGCTCAGTGGGTTAAAAGTCTGCCTTTGGCCCTGGGATGGAGCCTCTCATCAGGCTCCCTGCTCAGCAAGGAGTCGGCTTCTCCCTCTCCTTCTGCCCCTCCCCCTGCTTGCATGGGCATGCTCGCATGCGCTCTAATAAAATTTTTTTTTTTTTAAGATTTTACTTATTTGACAGAGACAGCGAGAGAGGGAACACAAGCAGGGGGAGTTGGAGAGGGAGAAGCAGACTCCCTGCCGAGCAGGGAGCCCGATGTGGGGCTCGATCCCAGGCCGGGATCACGACCTGAGCCAAAGGCAGACACCCAACGACTGAGCCACCCAGGAGCCCATAATAAATAAAATTTTTAAAAAGAAAAAAAAGGAAGAAAATAGAACCCAGTAGAATCAATGAAAAACTTTATATTTATTAAGTAAAAATAAAGAGCAAAATAAAATTTCAACTTTTTTTTAAAGTAAATGAGATGGCTACAAAACCAACAGTCAATTTTAAGCTAATTCCAAATGCAGTACTAGCATGGTATATATTGCTTTAAAACCACAGCAAACCTAAATTTCATAATATAAGCTTTTTCCAAGTGTTTCAAAGGCACCAACTATGTAAAAAACATTTTAATGGAGTCAACTGTCATGAAAATGAGATTTTTTTTTTTTTTTAAAGATTTTATTTATTTATTTGACAGAGAGAGACACAGCGAGAGAGGGAACACAAGCGGGGGGAGTGGGAGAGGGAGAAGCAGGCTCCCCGCTGGGCAGGGAGCCCGATGCGGGACTCGATCCCGGGACCCTGGGACCATGACCCGAGCCGAAGGCAGACGCTTAACAACTGAGCCACCCAGGCGCCCCGAAAATGAGATTTAATGGAATAAATATTTATGAAGTCCAGGTGGGTACCTTACATTACATAATAAGAAAGTCCCAAGAATTTAACCAAATGACTAGTTACTTACTTTTGCAAGAATGAGCAAATAATGAACTGACATAAAAACTAATATTTAAAACAAATTCTTAATAAAGTTTTCCCTTTTTTTTGAGAGAGAGAACACGTGCCCACATGAGCAGGGGGGAGGGGTAGACGGAGAGGGAGACAGAGAATCTTAAGCAGGCCCCACGCTCAGCACAGAGCCCAACCCAGGGCTCCATCTCAGGACCCTGAGATCATGACCTGAGCCGAAATCAAGAGTCAGACGCTTAACTGACTGAGCCACCCAGGCGCCCCAATAAAGTTTTCCTTTAAATGGACTTTTTTCTATAGGTCATTATATCCAAATTAAATACACTTTGACTACTGACTATTACTGATAATGTATAAATTCCTAACTTTTGAAATTAAATAGAATGCTAAAAAGAGGTAATATTTATATATAAATGATAAAAATCTGTATTAAAAAATCATGCTACCAAAAATAAAACTACAAATGAGCTTCCACCAAGATAAAATTAAAATTTTCTGTAGGAAAAATCATTCAGAAAATACACCTATAAATACTAGTCACTAGACACATCTGTTTACAACATTTTTGAAGGGCTCCATTGGAACATTTAAGAAAGTGTAAGTAATCTGTCCAGAATTAAATGTAATCAATTAAAAAGTATTCTATTCAGCCTCCCACTCCGCGCACCGTATCTTCTTTTTAGGACTGAAGTGAAATCGTTTAAGCTGAAAGGTTCCTAATCAGTTTATTTCAGAGAATAATTGAATCTGAGTTTTTTAAGAGACCACAGAGGTCATGCAGCTAGCCCTATCTTGCTTCTAATTTGAGAACCTCCTACAGTATCCTGACAGATGGGCCACTCTCTTTCTACCCAAATACACTGAGTGATGGGAAGTTCACAGCTCCATTAGGGAGCACATTCCATTGTTTAAAATCCAAATGATGGATGAGAACTCCTTCCAGGGACTTTAAACCAGTCATCCTCAAAATTCCACTAATGAAGTTAGTCTTTCTGTCATTACCAACACACACCCTACTCCTCTCTTCCTCCCAACCACCATACAAA